TGTTAGCGCCGCTGAGCCCCGGGATCCCGCCCCCTAGAGCCCGGAAGCGCCGGGAGCCACCACGGGGCGTTTCATCCCTCAGCCCCCGCCCGTCCCTAATTTCCTGCACCAGCTGCGGAGGGCGAGGCTTGCAGGACCGATGTTTATCCGGCAGAGTTACTTGCAATCGCGTTGCCCGAGGCTGTCCTACTACCGAGCGTGTGCACACGCTCATTGCTCGTGCTGAGAGAACCTTGGTGCCCTTTCTCTGCCTTTTGCCTAATAAGTTTAAACGCGGCCCCAATTTCCAAGCCCCCACTAGCGCAGCCGGAGGAGAGGGGTGAACAGAGATCTGGATGGAGGAGAGACGTGCTGGAACGATTCAGGCGGGGAGGGGGGCTTGATAGGGACCTCTAGGCTGTGCTGTAAATTCGGTGACCCCCCCCCCCACGTCACTTTTTTTCCCTACCAGAACAAAAGATCTAATGCATAATAATAATGATAATAATTAATAATTAATTACGCCTTAAAACCGAAGGACAGTGATGCGCGTGTAAAAGAAAATCTATTTTCGTTTGTATAGACAGGAGCGGAAAGGGGAATGTACTGTCAGGTGGGTTTGGCTACAAATGTATATTGTGTAAACTGTACATAGAGAACAACAAGGCGTCTGGTGGCATCTTAAAGACTAACAGATTTATTTGGGCATAAGCTTTCCTGGGTAAAATACCTCACTTCTAAAACTTCACTTCTTCAGCTGAGGTTTTTTACCCACGAAAGCTTATGCCCAAATAAATCTGTTACTCTTTAAGGTGCCACCGGATGCCTTGTTTTTGTGGATACAGACTAACACGGCTACCCCCGATACTTGTACATAGAGAGTATTTTTCACTTGCAAGGGAGGAGCACAACTGGTTCATTGTGATATTTTATGTGGATGTGTACACTCGTCTAGAAAAGTAAGATTTATTAATTTTTGTTTTGGTATACAGTTTTACAGTATTTCTTTCAGGTAGCATAGGCCCTGCTGGCTTAGACAAATAGTTCTGGTCAGCATCTGTGACTCTAGTACAGGTGTACTGTGAAAACAGATTTGTTAAGCAGCTGAACAAATAAAACTCAGGTCCAGTGGTGTCACAAGCAGTTGTCACAAATTTCAGCATCTAATGGGCCAAACTAAGTCCTGCAGTAATAGAATTCAAATTCACTGGCTTCAGTGTACATGCCATGAGTTTGGTTTGTTGTCTGAATCTGTATTTATATATATATGTATTTGGGTACATATAGAGAAATACTTACTTTTTTTCTTTGTATTAGTGAGCTAGTTATGTTCAGTGAAGTTTGCACACACTGCCTTCTTTGCTGGTTTGAGTTGTTCTGTTAGGGTTAAATTTCATACATGCTGCTCCCGGCAGATTCATAGAAGCAAGTTACTAAGGCCCTGTCTAGACTGGGAAAAGGAGATGTGTTTACCAAATGTATTAGCTAACATTTTAAATAACATGATTTTAAACACCATTTTGCAGCCTAATGCAGACAAAGAAAATGGTATTTTTAAAAATCTCAGCTGAGCGTAATCAGTGCTTAATTTGTGCCAGATTTTTCCAGGGCTGAGCCCTGGCACCTCTAGGCTTGGCAGTTCACAGCTCCGGCACCTCTGGGCTTGCTGAATCTGTTATGTATGTAAAAAAAAATAAAATTGTTGAGCCCTGGCACCTCTTTCATTACAAATTAAGCACTGGGCATAATCAACCCTAGTTAAATGATGATCATTTTGGAATGGTAACAATGAAAACATACTGTAAATATTAAGAGTGCTTAGACTATCATAGCATAACAAAACAGTATTGACAACTCCCCTGCTCCGCAACCCCCCCCACTATCTATAATCAACTAAATCACCAGTTTGAATTATAGAAACATAATCACGGTGTTTTTTTATTGCTTTAAGTGCAAGTCACACACTAGAGTTATGGAGTAAAATATCAGCTAAAAGCACATTGGAATTTGGGTAAATAACAGGAATATCTTTGCTAAACTGCATTCTTGAAATGAAAGTCTATTTTTTCTACTTTATTAGTGATACAGGTATCTAGGAATGGGTGCAAATTACAACCAGTAATTACATTAACAACACATGACTGTTGTTTGAATGCTGCAGGTTTTAGATTATAATGCTCATGGACATATAGACAGACAGGAGGCATGCTGGTGAAAGTTTTCATATCAGTTGTGCCCATCAGAATTGTTAGACAATCTAATTTACAAATATTTTAAAAAAGTCAGGCACAGGAACAAACATTAGTATGAGCAACATGACACACCTGCATAGCCCTCTAGAAACAGCAGCAGGTCATGAAATGGACAAAGATGACAAGTTCACTGGCTGGGGAGGCTAGGCCAGTTCACTGACTCTGTGCCAACATTGTCAGAGAGCATTGGCAGAATGTTTAGTGCCTCATCCAGAGTCCTTCCTCTAACATCAGTAAAAACTGAATTGGGCCCTTAGGGAGGTAAAGGATGGTCTTAGTAAATATAAATGTTTAGTTTAAAGAGCCTCTAGGGAGCACTGAATTTCACATGCTTTTGCCTTAGATTTTATGAAATTACAATAATTTCCAAAATGTTAATTTTCAAAGTGAAAATTTAAACTAAAGATATGTAATGTTTTTGTACACTTCCAAGTTTATTACACGTCAGACAATAAAATCTCTAACAAACTCGTTACGTCTATGTGCTAACACTTTAGTCAGCCAAATCACACTCCTAATGAAATCAATGGGTGGAGGATTTGGCCTAATGTTGATTTTCCTATGCTTCTATGAGCAGTGTTGTTACTGATTGAAGAACTCTTTTAGCACTTATGAATGTACAATGTATGTCCAGCAGACTGACTTCTAAATGATCGAGCATCTGTCATTTAGACAGAATGGCATAGTTCCAAATAGAATGCTGTGGTCAGTATGTGATGAGGTTAAATTTCTATTTTAACACTCTGAAAGAACAAAAGAAAATATATTTTGGGTGGGAAAAACTTCATAAATAAACTCAAGGCAAATATTATGAAATTCAGAGTTAATGCTGAATCGCTATCATTAACTGGCATTGTTATTGCCTGGGATTTGCAAACAGAACTTTAATGTGTTTTCTGTTACCCTTTGTAAACAGACCTGCAATACGTGCGAAGAAGAGACTTAATTATTAAGCACTTGACTGTGACTGGGTCTAATGTGTCCATGGGCGACAGTAGCAGAGATTAAGAGCTCCCTCCTCCCCCAAATCATTCAGCATGACTGCTTTAGACCTGCCCCCATCTTGTCTGCAGGTATGGTGATGCGGTCATGGCATGAACGCTGAGATGTATTCTCCTGTCCTGTGAACAAATGAGTGGGGAGGGACAGAGGCTACAGAGCCATGACTCTGGCCCCCATAATACTAGCCAGGAGAGCAGGCTCAGTGCAGTGGGTAGTATGCTGCACTCTGTAAGGGGCTGCAGTAGATTACTGTCTGCTCAGTACAGCAGAGGAGCACAGGAGAAAATGTGCCTCAGTGTGTGTCTCTGAGGCACAATTACTTCTGAGGCTACTCCTGACGGAGGCAGCTTATGCTCAGGGCTCTAACTAAAAGCAAGAACTAGACCTAAGCTTTGAATTTCAGGTTTCAATTTGTATTTCCTAGTTGCACGGTGAGCAAATGATGTTATTTGGTAGCAGAGAGTAATACATTCTAGGGGGAGCAGAATCTGCCAAAGAAGAGGATGCTGTTGGTTTTATTGTGTCTGATAAAGAAGAGGAAAGGGTGATCTGCCTTAAATCTTACATGATTTAAAGATGATCTCACTACTACAACGACTGCACTGGCAGCTGCAGCCTCAGTGCCCTCTTCATTGACCTCAACAAAGGATTTGTGAAAAACTTGTGACAAAAACAGATCATTATGCTCAGACATCCCTTTGAAGTCAGCTTGGCTCTGACTGAAGGCATCTTTCATCCCCATACTGCTCAAAGTGGACTTGAGGTTATAGCTCTCTTCCAGCTTGATCCTGGGCAGAAACAACTCCACTCCAGTTGTCTTCATCATTTCTGGGCTGGTCCACTTCGATAACTTCTCATAGGTCAATTCCCTCTCTAGCTGTAGTGAGTTAAGAAAGAAAGGGAATTAGACAAAAAGCAAAAATGAAATCATGAGTAAATGAAAAAAACTCATCATAAAGGCACGAAACACATACTTTGCTACCACCCCGGCTATTGCCATCATTATAGGATGTGCTACATGCAAATAGGGTTTGATCCTGCAAGGTTCTAAGTGATGTATGCTCACGTTTATCTAAATGGGAGGTGACCTTGAATGCAGGATTGGGTCAATAGAGGAGTTCCTTGTTTTTTCTATTTAAACATACATGGGAATGTTCCCCTCTTATGCACATATAGAGCTCCTGTTAATGTTAATAGAACATCTACATGTGCATGCAAGGAAGACTTGTCCCATCACAACTATATATGATTGGTGTGCATGGGGTCTTGCAGACAAGTAAGAGGATATGGTCCTTGCCCTGATGTGCTTGCAAACGGAGCATCTGATTTTTTATGTTGTTGAGCTCTCTTGGTTCCCATTGAGTTGAGGCACTCAGCACCTACTGTGAGGAGCTTAGTCCCTTGCAAGGTGGGTTAGTAATTACTTATTTCACTAGATAAAGAGAGCCCAGAAAACAGGGGGAAAGGGAGTACAGCTCTTGGAAGAGCATTAATTGCAAGGGGCCAGAGAGTCAGATTGTGGTCCACTTTGTAGGCAACAGAAACAGGACAAAAGAACTGGCTTCAACAACCAGTTTGGAATTCTTGTTTAGAGGAATCACCACATAATGTATAGCAAGTACTATACTTCCCATTCAATGCAGCTATCCCAACAGAATGCTGAAAATCCTGCATATCATACTAGAGAATCAAGTATTCCCTAAATACATGTATGACTTTATGGAATCCACAAGACTTGCACATGTCGAAACCAATTATCCCCCTGCTACAAGCCGCCTACTTCCTCACCCTACTTCCTTATGGTTTGTTGCTCTCTCATTGCATCGTATCTGAAACTAGGCTGTTAGCTATTCTGGGACACAGACCTGGTTTATTTGTTCTGGAAAATTCCTTGTGCTCTTTTGGGCTTCATCTAGATAATAATACATCATGCCAATGATACCCCTTAACATTGTACCTTAGGTGGTGTCGTCGTCAGAACTGCTAAGTTTCACTTCCCAGTTCTTATCCTGATCACAAAAAGGCACTTGTATGCCATACATTTGTTTACAGCCATATACATTAATGTACAGGATGTTGCTAAACTCATTCTGAACATTATCCCGTAGCTGTCTCACACTGAAGAAACGTTAAATTCCACTTTCGTGGAACAGCAATATGGTATAATGGTTTTACCTGTTCCAGACCAGTAGATTTATCCTCAATGTCATCTGGTAATAGGATGAGCATGCTGAGGTCATTATTAACGTATGGAAGCTCAGCAATTTTGACCTTCATTGTTTCCAAGTAGCATATTGGAAATGTATCTTTTAGAAACATCATCTGCACTGGTTTAGTCTTGGTCTGTGAAATTATATATCTCCATAAGAAAATAAATATTACTTCTTTCTTTGAAACATATGGGTTATCAGTAAATATGTATGACTTGCTTCAGATGAAATAAGAATAAAAGTTTGAATACAGTTTTATGAACCAAAGTTGATTGCATGGTTTAACAGGGTTCCTTTCATGAGACAATATTAATTGTCCTGTTGTTTGTCTCAAAGCATTGTTTTCCATGACCTGGACTCATCTTCCACTGTTCCCCAGTACATGCATAATAACTCACAGAAGGTGGGACAGAGGAGCCAGAAAATTCTGCAAGGATCACCTCATTGAGTTTCCTGACATTTGTTCCTATTACAGGGAAGACCTTTGAGGAGACAGAGTGGAGGGAGGTGCACAGCTCCCAACACTGAAAATTCTGGGGAACCTCTAAGTACAAGGAGAAAGGTCACTGCATGCAGGGGCTGCTTTGGTATCTTCACCACCATGGCAAAACAGAACAATGCTGCCTTTGGCTGACTCTCTGGTGGCTTAGCAGTAGCAGCTGTAGAGTGGATTCTGTACATATTAATGATGCCTCATGGATAATAAATACAAAAACTCAGTGTTTGTAAAGTTTCATGGATTCAGAAAGGTCACTTAGTTTCAGTTATGGAGCAGTGCTGTGCAAAGGATGTGTGTGTGTGCTATATTTAGCTGCATGAGAGGTAATTTTGGTTTGCAGGAGTTTCATAAAGTCCTTTACAACTTCACTTCCTATGTGTTTGCAACTCCTGAGTTCCATAGACTATCGGTACCTACATAGGGAACAGAAACTGATAATATAGGGCTCTTCAATCTAGCAGATAAAGGTAGAACAAGAACCAATGGCTGGAAGTTGAAGCTAAACAAATTCAGACTAGAAATTAAGGCACAAATATTTAACAGCGAGAGTAATTAACCATGGGAACAACTTCCCAGGGTTGTGCTGGATTCTCCATCACTGGAAATTTAAAAAATCAAGATTGGCTATTTTTCTAAAAGATATGCAGTAGTTCAAGCACAGTTATTGGACTTGAAGCAGGAATTTAGTACAGAGAAGTCCTGTGGCTTGTGTTAGGCAAGAGGTCAGATTAGACTATCACAACGGTGCTTTGTAGCCTTAATCTAACTCACAATGACTTTAAATGAGTGTTAGGCTCCTAAATCACTTGAAAAATGGGATTTGGGCTCCTAAATCCCTTAGGTGCCTTTGAAAATGTTACTATAGTCTATAGCAGGGGTTCTCAAACTGGGGGTCGGGACCTGTAGTGAGGCCGTGTGGTTCCCCACCTGCCCGGAGAAGGATGAGCCCATCCGGAGGCCGGGGTGGGCGGAGCTAGGGTGCTCTGAGCCCGCCCCTCAGAGGGTCAGGCGGCGACCCGGAAGTATAAACGCTTGCCCTCAGAGCTCACTAAAGGCTAGCTGCCGGGGAGGCCAGATGCCTCTAGCCTAGCCCGCGACTGGGAAACCCTCGTGGCCCAAGGTGCCCGCCAGGACTCGCCGGACCTGCCCTGCACGCGCGACCAGGAGGAGTTGCCGGACCTGCCCTGTGCTCACTACCCAGAGGAGCTGCCGGGCCTGCTGCTCGCCCACTACCCCGAGGAACCCATGGTGCTGGACCGCCCCGGAGGACACCGCCGTGACTGAGGTACCACAAGAGGGGGAGTCAGAAAGTAGCCTGGGGGCAGCCAACCCTAGTCTGGCTGCAGCACTGCCAGAGCCCATGTCAGTGTGTTGCGGCCAGGATCCCCACGGACACCGCAGCAGGTCTTCTGCCGCTGCTAGGACCCTGGGCTGGGACGCAGTGGAGTGGAAGGGCCTGCGTCCCCCCTGCCACCCAACCCGTGGGTGGCAGTCTCCCCCTCTCCCAGGCCTTTTGGAGGCTTGGGCCTACTGTTGCTCAGCCCTGCCGGAGGGCCTGAGCTCCTGACTCATTGCCCTGCCCTGACCTAGCGCCTGGGCTTGCTACTGTTTATGTTGGTACTGCTATAGCATTATTGCTCAGCCCCTGCCTGAGGGCCTGAGTCATTGTTGCCCCACCCTGACCTAGGGCCCTGGCATAACTGTACTTATTTCTGCCTCCGCAGGGGCCGCCAGGAAAGACTCCCGCGGCCGGACTAATTCCCCAAACCTCAGCTGTGTGTAGTGAGCTGGTGTGGCTCCCTGCCACCCCGGAGAGGGTTGAGCCCTGGCCAGCCCCTCTACAGGACCCCTCAGGGGTCATGAGCAGTCAACCTCCACCCCAAATCCCACTTGCCTCCGCTTTATTAGGGGGGGTCACATTCAGAGGCTTGCAATGTGAAAGGGGTCACCAGTAAAAAAAAGTTTGAGACCTACTGGTCTATAGAGCTGCACAGCCTTCACATTAACAGGGTATTCACATTTATTCATTTCCAAATCCGTGAATTATAGACTTGCATCTGTCAGTAGGAGTGTTACCACATAATAATCTGTGATTTCTTATAGCTAGAACCGACTTAGTGACGTGTCTTTTGGCATTTTTCATAATGAACCTGGTTTTGAGCATTGCTAAAGTAAAAATTTGCTGGACTTGGCATATATTAGGGTATTCACTAATGTTTCTAATAACATAGGGCCCATCAGTCTCCTCTTGAAGCTAAAACCCATTTTTCAAATCTTTGCTTAAACTATGTAGTAGTTTTACTAACTAAATATTAAAATTGTCACAGTTATTTACGTTAGGCCATGTGTCGAGCTACCAATAGTTTTATGATGGAATATGAACTGTGGGTGAAAGATTTTCATGCTATATGGAGGTTTCTTACTGTTCAACAGCATGAACATTAGTGAAACATACCTTGCTCAATCTGAAGAGATTCTCAGATGTGTTTTCATTCAGAAATCTCTTTTCCCATTTTCCTTTGAAGTAAATGGCATTAACCAGGACCAGTGCGGTGTTGGGATCAACAGAACCTCTAGGCAGCAGGTTCTGGATTTTCCCTTTCAGAAGGAGAAGAATGGTGTTTTTATTCCAGTGCAGTACAGCAAGTGGCTATTTCTAATTTTGCTTTCTCTTTAATTATCCATTGAGAATGTATGTGCCTCAGAACCCCTGATCTCTGAGTGAGTTTCTAAATTCTGCCAAATCAGAATGGTAGCATTTTATACCCATTTCATCCTCCTTTTGCACAGGAGTAAATAACAACACAAGGGGCTAGGCTGTGAAGAATCAGGCTCATGAAAAAGGGAGTCCATGGTCATAAATCCTGCTCCTATAGTTCCAGCAGTGACGGTGGCCCATGAGACCAGAGGCCTTGCAGGAGCTATTGATTCTTTAGAATCAGGAAATCAGGTTCTAAAGGCTGCTCCCTTCTTTCTTTGAAGTCCTTGGGAAGTCAATGGGAGTCTTTCCATTGAATTCAAAATATTCTGAATCAGACACTTGAAGCTGTTCAACTGTCCACCTCTCCATCCTCAATTTCCACATTAGCTCCACTAGTGCCTGACTACAGGAGGAACACATGTAAAAATGCAGCCACCTACCCAAAAGGAATTAGCAACTATAGTGAGAGAAGAGCAAAGCTTGGATTGTTTGTTCTTAGCTTACCCTCAGTTTGGCTTTCAACCCAGGAATTGATTTCTTTTCTGACTTGTTCTGCAGCTTTTTTAAAGTTAACTGCTTGGGGCTCTGCATGGTAATAGTTTTTAACGAATTCTATGTATCCCTGAAAGGTAGGAGAGAAAATTTGCTATTAAAATAAATTCAAAATGGCATCACTTAAAAACATTCAGATTGCTGTACAACATAACTACTACAATACTAAAGAGAGTACAATTCAACTTAAGCTAGATAAAATTTAAAAGTAAGATCTATGGTACAGTATATTTAATAATTAGAGCTGATTAAATCTCTATTTCAATTCCACTGGAAATTCCCTTTCATCCCAAATCAGAACAAAAAGTTAAAATTTTGACATTTTCTGTGAAATGATAATTCTGAAAACATTCTTTTAGGAAATATCAAAATGATCTAATCATAAGGATAACTGGGCACTGTGTGTCTAGTTCTGGAGCCCACAATTCAAGAAGGATGTTGATAAACTGGAGAGGATTCAAAGAAGAGTCATGGGAAGGGTTAAAGGAACAGAAAATGTAGTTGTAGACTCAAGGAGCTCAATCTACTTATCTTAACAAAGAGAAGGTTAAGAGATAACTTGATTACATTCTATAAGTACCTACATAGGGAATAAACAAATAACAGTGAGCTCTTCAGAGAAAAGTATAACACAATCTAGTAGCTGGAAGTTGAAGCTAGACAGATTCAAACTGGAAATAAGATGTACATTTTTTTTACTGTGAGAGTAATTAACCACTGGAACAATTTACCAAGGTTTATGGTGGATTCTCCATCACCAACAATTTAAAAATCAGGACTGGATGTTTTTCTAAAAGATCTGATCTAGGAATTATTTTGGGGATGTTCTCTGGAGGTCAGACTAAATGATGACTGTGGTCCCTTCTGGCCTTAGAATGCATGAAAATTTTCCATTTTAACAAGGTTGAAGTGCTTTGTTTCAATTGTATATAATATGAACTATAAGTAATAATATAAATGTATACTATCTAATATAAAAGTTAAACAGATAATGTCAAAACAAAGCACTTTGACTTTATTGAAATGAAGAGTTTTGATAATTTTTCATCAGAAATTTAAACAAAATCTATATGTTCCCACAAAACATTTCAGTTTTATCACATCAGCATTTCCCATTGGCAAATTGTTCCTTTGGAAAATTTTCGATCTGCTCTATTAATAACTTGAATCATTGAGTGTCATAAATATCTTTCAAAACTTTCTCTTCAGCTTTGTAAAAGTATTCAACTTACACTATGGAATTGGAAGGTCTGTTCCTCATACAGTCTGTTGGCAGTTTTAAGCAAATAAGAAGTTTGGGGTTTGTTGATTAAAGAGATTAATGCCTGGAACTCAGAATGAATGTCTTCAGCTTTGCAGTCCTCAGATTCCTTTAAAAAAGACACAATGAACTTGGAAATCACATTTTCTTTATGAAAATTTTGTAACTCCTAAGATTACTACACTCGACAGAAATTACTGGGGGGTAGGGCGCGGCAGATTCCTCTGTTTTTTCTGTTTATTGACTCTGCATTTGACTGAATTGTCTGTAATCAGATTGTTTCCACTGGATAGTGAGCAGGTCAGTGTCTCCCTTGTTGCAAAGACTTTTACAAACATTATCAGGTGAGTACTTAGAGCTACAGCTTAGGTGGGACTTAAAGTTTGAGCTCCACTCCTGCGCAATGGAGACTGTGATATTCAACACAGGGTCATACAACTCTGGTGGAAATCACATCTCTGATGGAGCACACCTCTGTTGGGGATGAGGGATAACTTTCCCTCTGCACTAGAAGCAGCAACGGGGTGCCATTACTGAGGGATTATAAAAGAGGAGCAAGTTAGGGGACTTAGAAGGTGAGAGATAGAGGCCTCTGTTTCTCTTAAAAAGCAGAAGACCTTGTCTAACAAACTGTCCTTAGTTCAGAAGCCATGGATTCCCTGCTGAGAACTACAGCTGGTTCACCTGCAGAAAATGCTGGCACAGAGGCTTTTGAGACCTCTTCAGGAAGAACATCCACCCCTATCCTGACCCACTCCCAAAATGATGAGAGGAAAGGGGCTTGTCCTTAGAGCTGTCCGAAGAACAGAACACTTCAGGCAGCTCCCCCCTCCAGTCTAATGAACCAAGGCAGATTCATCAGAATGCATCTGCTGGGGAAATAGGGGTACCGTCTCTTCCCCCGCCCATCTCGCCACCACCACATGCACCTGGCCATTCTCCTACCTTCCCACAGACACTTTCCAAATCTTCCCTAGACTCAATATATTGTCACATACCCCACTCCCACCTTAACTTCCACATCATGCTTTCCATCTTTATATTGACACATCATACCCTTCACAACTGCACATATGGCTGTAGGATATGTCTGTAGCTATCCAGTCTCTGAAGTCAGAGTTCAGGTTTTGCATTGGTGTGGGTGTGTGTGGTCCATCTGTACATATGTGAGGTGGAAGGGAGTTCCCTGGGGAGGTGCAGAGTCAGTGGCGTATTACCTTGCTGTTCAGGAGTGTGAATCAAGGTGCCTTTCCTGCCTTTGAAGGTTTGAGTGAGTGGGTTTTGCACTTAAGCAATCTTAATTGGTTATTAACTACAATTTTTCAGGGTGAGGGGAGCAATATAGATGTAGGCTGAAAACAACCAATAGCCTGATCAAAACTAGTGCCGCTGTTGAACTTTCCTATTCCCAGAAAGACAGCGGATTTATTTTTGTTCTAAAGAATACCATCTTCCTTTTCTTTGGCCTCCCACGAGAAGTTCTTGTCACCTGCAAACAGCCTCCGGTTCCTGTAGTTTTCTTAAAATGAAGCACCTGCAAGCCGAGTTTGTAAAAATAGTAAATATATTTGAAGACCGCTATCTAAGACAAATGTACACACAAATTAATTACTAGTGACCTAATTGTCAAAACCTCCAATTTATTATAATTAGTCAGCAAAGATGGTTGCTACTTAGCATGCTAAGGACACCATATCTATGATTTTCAATGATGATTTGAATGTAACTGAGACCCAGGTCATAACCACACAGTCACATTGCTGGCTTAATAACAGATCATCATTATGAATCAGGTGGAACTTAACTCTGACATATAGTCCGACCATGTGAAATTCATGATGGTTTCAGCCATTTATTATTGTACTCTGTTTATTATTGGGCATCATTGATGTGCTAGATGCTGTACAATATAAAAAGGTTCAGTGCTTCCCCCAAGGGTTTACAAGCTATATTAAAAAGACAATGAAGTTTAGTTGCAGAGTACACGGAATGGCCATATGAAGGTGTAATCACAGAGCCATCAAATAGTAATGATCAGATATATTTATGCTCAAAGCAGAGGTAGTAGCAGCAACAAAACACAATTCAAGGTATGATCCCTGCAAATTACAATGGTTATGCAACTTTATCATTTTTATTAGCAAAATTCAGGCAAATGTAAATAGACTGAAATAGGACTAAACTGAAAAGGTTTCAATTGTGCGTGTAAGCCGACTGTCATGGAAGAGCTATGGACGAACCAAGCCACGTTTTCAGTATTGGCATTTATTTATGTACAGAACGCTGATATTCACATCTTAGAAAAATGTTTACAATAATGTTAAATTGAGTTTTAACGGAAAGCTAAAATGGAAGGTCAGGTTCTAAACTATTGGGGTGGCTCCTATCTAGCAAACCAGCAGCACCACTCTGGGAAGTATAGGAGCAAGTGAGATGCAGGGGCTAGTAAAGGTGTTGAGAAATGATGGGGTCCTCAGTGTGAGTAGGGGACTTTTCCCTCTCAGTGGGTTACCTGTTGGATTCAGAGAACCTCAATCCAAAGAGAATTCTGGAAAACTGAGGTAAATAAAGGAGATCTCTGCCTAGGGAAGTTACGGAGACACATGGAGAAGTTACTAGGAGCCACTCAGCTGCCCAGGATCAGTGTGCTCCGACCAAGCCCCCTTTCACCTCAGGAAAGCCCCCAAGCTAATAGGGCCAGGAGCTGCCACCTGGAACTCCTCTTTACAGGGAGTTGCCCCAGTAGTTTAGAACTTGACCTTCAATTTTAGCTTTCCCTTTGAACAGAACACTGGATCTGGCCCAGAGTACCTGAACAGTGTAGAGTACAGAGAGTTACTGGGAAATTCTGAAATTAGTTAAAATTGCAGTGAATTTGTTATTCCCTATAGTCTACCCAGCATTTCCATTCACCATTCCTTCAAAGACATTGTGTTTAATACTGTAGTATCAGGTTGTTGTAGCGTGTGTAGGAACCATTTGTCATCTCGAGATATATACAGTACATAGTCAAATTTCACAACCTACCTCAGCCATCTGCGTTGCAGTGTTACCTTTTGCCCCCACATAAGTCATGGCCAGAGCAGATGAAATACTCCAAGGGGAAAAGAAAATGTTTTTGCCTTTAAAAGATTCATTCAGCTTTTTGAAAAGGTCAAGAGTAAAGCTACCGTTTGATGCTGAGAGAGAGTCCATTGCTGAAACCTAAGACAAATATATGAAGACAGAGTATAACAGTTTGACTTTACTGGAGTCAAGATTTTTCCTTTGGTCTCCAGCTTGTGTTGTTTTCTCTGTATCATAAACTAACTTTCCTCAGAAACTGGAAAATGTATCGAAGTGACAATGATTCCAGACTCCCTTAGACTATTTGCCCTATAGTTTCTGCTGTAAATGGATCCCTAGGTACTTGTACAACACACAAATCATATCATGCACACTCTTTACTGTTATAAAAAGATTTCAATATGAATTAGGCACCTAACCTGCTTTGATGCTTTTGAAAATACCAGTAGGCACCTTTCTGCATCTTTAGGTGCCTAAATACCTTTGATAATCTGGGCCTCAGTCTTTGCCCTTTTGGGGTTCCATGGCTGTCAACAAAGCATTATGGAGCATCCAAACACATTCTAAGTCATGGATTCTTTTGTTATGAGAAGACTAACAAGAGGATGACAGAATAAAAATCTTTTTCTTCCCCCTCAGGGGAACAACAATTTAGTGCTTGACTCATTAATTTGCTGTGTTGTACCATCTCACAGCAAGAACTACCACCTGAATAGATTTATCCTTACTTATCTAATCTAAGATTTTAAGGAACAGGTTTGTCATCTACTCAAGAAAATTCTTCCTTTGATTCCTTTGCTCCATATCAGTATCTTTTCTTAAACTCTGTAAGTATATAATACTTGCACTCTGTTTTCTAAGAATTGAAATCTAAATTAAACTTACAATGAAAATGTGCAATCCCTGTTTTACTGCATAACATTTAATTTATCATTTAATCTGCCCTTGCATGGTTTAAGTAGTTAAAAAGAAGTTTCAAAGAAAGTTAATTATGTCTATACGAATATTTACATTACCTCAGATTCCTGTGAGAGAGAAGGAATTACTTGTGTTGTCGGCTGCGTTTTGGGGTCTGTTTGTTAGGCAATAAACACATTTAGAAATATAAAACAGTTGTGCTTCCTTCTGGCCTATATCCTCCACTCTTACTGCCCTATGTATTTCGCCACCTATGTTTACCCCTCCTCCCCACCAGTTTCCAGAACTTTCTGTTGTAAAGTTTGCCCCGATTGTTGACATACACAATATTGGTTTGGCAATAAATATGTTTAGAAATAAAATGAGATTGCAGCTCACTCTCCTTCTAGCCTACATTCTCCATTCCTAGTCCCCAATATGTTTCCCCACCTAAACCTACTCTTACTCCTCACCACTTTTCAGAAATTTTTGTTGTAAAGTTTGACCTGATTATTGATCCATTGTATGTGTTTTAAACAGCAGTCTTAGAAATTTAGAAGATGAATACAATGATCTTATAAGAGCTGCTATTTTAGGCATAGGATAAACAAAAATACCACAGAGTGGCCTAATGTAAGAATGTCTGGTGATGTCGTCCGTTGTGACTCTCTTTTTGGTAGTGGTGAGACTTTTGTTTAAAATAAGTGCAGTTAGCGTTTAACTTACACCAAACAACACAAATGTCTGTCTTTGTGCTGGTTGGGTGTTCTGTGTGGCCTGATTCTCCACTGCATTATTTCAGTTTTAAACCAGTGTAACTCTATAGATTTCAATTGAGGCATATCAGTGTAAAACTGGAGAAATGCAGGGGTCAATTAGACTTTGTGACTCCACCATCCTCATTTAAAACCATTAGGAATATAGATACCGCCATGCCGCCACCAAATCAGACTAACAGTCTAACTGGCCTGGTATTCGACCTCCAACAGTGACCAATACCAGATGTTTAAGTGGAGGACGTAAGACTCTGAAAATGGGCTTGTCAAAGAATGCATGGAATGAGCGCTAAGATATTCCCATGTTGGAAGTTTCTCTCTAATTCAAGGCAGTTGTGGGTGCTGTGTGTACTGAAGGATGAGGGCTAGTATCCCTTTTTAATTTAAAGGCTGGACTAAAGAACATCTCTGGATGCACAAACTGATCCACGCTCAGTGCAGTGGATGCTAAAATGTTGAAACATTTTCTTAAAAACTTCAAAGGCTTTTTTGTTTGTTTGTTTCATGCTGAGACCCAGCATGAAAATTAATAGCTCATGTGCAGCCAAGAGTTTCCTCTCTCCAAAATAGTAGAAAAGATATTCTGAAATGCACATGTACCCTCACCTTGCCTTGTTTTTGAAAATCTAAGCTGTATGAAGGAGCGCTTTCCTAGAAAGTGTGTCTGTGTAGACATATACCATAATAGGGACTTCTTTGGGGTTTTAGCACACAGCTTTATCTTGTTATCTTCAACAGGACAGTATTTAGATGGAATGTGTTCGTGCAGTCATAGTGAGTATAATAAAATAAATAAAACTTTATGTAATCTTATTTCATGTTTGTTCTTTTCCTATTCAGGAAGCAGCACCAAAAAGAAAGGTGTGTGCTGCATCCTAGCAACGTGGACTTCCAAAGTGTTTGCAGGCAGGTTGGAATATTTTCAATAGAGCTGGAGGTTCACTAGTTTACCCAGCTTATTTAATCTCTGCCCTAAATTCAAAGAGTTAGGAGCAGTCCCAGAAAAGGTAGGAAATTACTCAAAAAACTCTGTGCTTCTAATATTTTATTCCACTGTAACTGATTGCTGAATTTGAACAAAGAGCTCCAACCAGGGCCGGCTCCAGGCACCAGCGAACCAAGCAGATGCTTGGGGCGGCCAATGAAAAGGGGTGGCACGTCCGGGTCTTCGGTGGCAATTCGGTGGCGAGTCCCTCAGTACCTCTCAGAGGGAAGGACCGGCTGCCGAATTGCCGCCAAAGAATGAAGCGGCGCGATAGAGCTGCTGCGGCTTGCTTTATTTATTTATTTATTTATTTATTGCTTCGCCGCTTTGGGCAGCAAAAAAGCTGGAGCCAGCCCTGGCTCCAACACCAAAATGTGTGAAGATATGGGTTCTGCATAAACATACTGCATGATAGTTACAGATAAATATTTAGGGCCTGATTCTCCATTGCCCTAGTTTACACCAGTGTGACTCCATCGATTTCAGTGAGGTTACTCCGTCATAAAACTAGAAGAAGGCAGTGGAAAACTAGTCCCTAGTACAGGTGAGGGCAAAATTTTTGGCCCAAGGGCCAAATCTGGGAATAGAAATTGTATGGCGGGGTTGGGGTGCGGGAGAAGGTGAGGGTTCTGGTTGGGGATGCGGGCTCTGGGGTGGGCCAGAAATGAGTTCAGGGTGCAGGATGGGGCTCCAGGCTGGGCAGGGGGAGTAGGGTGTGTGACAGGGGCTGAGGGGTCCGGCTGGGGGTGCAGGCTCTGGGGTAGGGTTGGGGATGAGAGGTTTGGAGTGAAGGAGCGTGCTCCAGGCTGGGATCGAGGGGTTTGGAGGGTGGGAGGGGGATCAGGGCTGGGGCAGGGCGTTGGGGCGCAAGAATAGGCTCAGGGGTGCAGACTCTGGGCAGCACTTACCTCAAGCAGCTCCCGGAAGCAGCGGCCATGTCCCCACTCTGGCTCCCACACGGAGCCGCGGCCAGGCAGCTCTGCGCGCTGCCCCATCCACAGGCCCCTGCAGCTCCCATTGGCTACAGTTCACAGCCAATGGGAGCTGTGGGGGCGGCACTTGGGGCAGGGGCAGCATGCAGAGCGGAGCCCCCTGGCTGCCCTTACGCGTAGGAGTTGGAGTGGGGCCATGCCACTGCTTCCAGGAGCAGCCTGGAGTGGCCCCTGACCCTGCTCCCCAGCTGGAGCGCCAGAGTGGGGAAAGCCCCAGACCCTGTGGCACAGCAGGAGCTCGAGGGCTGGCTTAAAATGGCTGGCGCTCCAAATCTGGCCCGTGGGCTGTAGTTTACCCACCTCTGCCCTAGTATGATGCTGGCTGAAAGTAAAATTATTACAAAGCAGATGGTTGTAAGAAAAATGCATTTTATTTCTTATAGATCACACAGTTGTTTCTTGTACAACACTTGCACATTGGCATGTTATCTGCAGAGGAAATAGAACACTTGCAAGCAGTCTGCAAACAAGAAAAAATGCCAGTAGAAATGTAAAGATTACAAAACATTTACATTCAAATGGTTTTATGTTGCTAGCCATGCCTATCTTAAGTCAGTATAACTCATGAGACTGTGGGCCACATCCTCATCTGGTATAATTGGCCTAGCTCCATTGACTTCAGTGGGGGTGGTCCAATCTGCACCTACTGAAGATCTGGCCCTGCTTGTGTACTCTTTGTATGCCTGCACAGGTAATTGTGTTATTCCTGAGATGCATTTCTCTATATCAAACTTGTTCTGCTTTATAACATAAGAACATAAGAATGGCCCTACTAGGTCAGACCAAAGATCCAGCTAGCCCAGTATCCTGTCTTCCAACAGTGGCCAGTGCCAGGTGCCCCAGAGGGAATGAACAGACCAGGTAATCATCAAGTGATCCATCCCCTGTCGCTCATTCCCAGCTTCTGGCAAACTGTATAGTTGAACAGTACTAAGACTGCAATTTACAGTCATTTAGAAAGCAACCAGTGTATTTTTATTGTGCTTTTGAGAGTTGTAGCCCAATATTATCATTATCAAGTCCTCTAATCACATGAACAGAAGAGAAAAATTCTTAGTAATTTGCATTATTTGTTGTTCCCAAAGCTACAAAGATTGACCAATAATACAGGAAAGTGAAGTAAAATTACCCCAGCTATTTAGACACCTAAGGCAATGTCTTTGTGGTACAGTCCTGCTGCTGCAAGATCCTGTTTAGCAACAGAAATCTGAGTGGTTACGGGGAGCAGAATCTGCCAAAGAAGAGAATGGTCTTAGTTTTATTGTGCCTGATGAAGAAGAGGAAAGGGTGATCTGCTGCAAACTGAATGGCAGAAATGAGACTTCGTGATGTCATAGAAGCCGCACTGGCAGCTGCAGCCTCTGTGCCTTCTTCATTGATCTCCACAAAGCACTTGTGAAAAACATTTGACAAAACCAGATTATTTTTCTCAGACATCCCTCTGAAATCAGCTCGGTCCTGACTGAAGGCATCTCGCATCCCCATGCTGCTCAAAGTAGATTTGAGGTCATAACTCTCTTCCATTTTGATCCTGGGCAGATACACGTCCACATCCATTTTCTCCATCATTTCTGAGCTGGTCCATCTGGATAATGTCTCATACGTCAAGTCTCTTTCTAGCTACAGTTAGTTAAAAAAGAGAGAATCAGAAATTACACAGTGAAAATGAAACTTCTTTAACATTGATGTCCTTCACAATCCTGAATGGAGAAACTATAGAGATGGTTTACAAATATAGTGAAGATCACTGAAAAGCTTCTGGCTAGTTTACAGGTGTCTTCTGAACTGTAAAGCAGTGTGTTTTCTTACAGCAGGTTAATGCAGTAACTGGAAGTTTGAACAGACTTTAAAGCCAGAAGGGATAATCACGATTATCTAGTCTGACGTCCTGCACATCACAGGCCACAGAATCATGCCCACCCTCTCCTGTAATAGGCCTATAACCTCTGGCTGAGTTACCGAAGTCTTCAAACCTTGATTTAAAGATTTAAAGCTACAGAGAATCCACCATTTACTCTAGTTCAAACCAGCAAGTGACACATGCCCCACGCTGCAGAGGAAGGTGAAACCCTCCTGGGTCTCTGCCAAGCTGACCTGGAGGAAAATTCCTTCCTGACCCCACATAGTGAATACTTTCAGTGTTGAATATTTGTAGTGTAATAGCAGCAGAGGCCTGTTTTACGTAATAGTAACCCAGTTAATTTATTGTTGTATCTGTTGAGCTTCTGGCATTCTAGCTTATCCGCATGCAATCTACCAGAAAAGTATGATTGTTAATTAATTACACATATACTTAAGTCAGTATTTGTTAGCTGAGTTGTTCTAAGTTATATTTTTCCTTATTTAAAATATTATTGTATGAAAATACATTTGGAAATCCGGCCACCTAGTATTTTTTCAAGAGGGGAGCTGGAAAGGAACAATGAAGATGATGGCAATTCCATCATCCCTTCTTGGAACTGATCCAGCAGAGCTTCTCCCCTTGCAAAACTCCAATTAAAGTTAGTGGGAGTCTTGC